GATGAGCCACTTGTAGTTCTTGATGTAAAGACTGGATGTATTTCTGAAGCTTCATTTCCTTCTCTGTGGGATATTTTATTAGCTGATCCATCCACCATGTTCTGGTCTTGCTGTATGATGAATACTTTTCTTGATATTTCTTACTAGTAAAGTCATTACCATCCAGTACTGACTGTACTATCCACTCACCAGCTTCATGTACTGAAATAAGGAAAATACATTTATTATTACAGTTAGTGTAGTATCAATCCTCTTACCTAATTCAACTATTATTATTAGTCTATTAGCATCAGTTATTATTAGATATTGCGGCTTCCCTATTGTCATATACTGCCCAAATCCTCCAATAATTACTAGCCACACACAGTTTGGTGACATTGTGACTGCTGTGAGTGAGTGATGGTATCTACCAGTTACAGAATCAGGTAGAGGAATCTGTAGGTATAGATACGAGATGTCAACACATTTTCATTTTCTATATTAAACTGTATTGAGGCGCTCTCCCACAATTAATTTCATTATCAATTTTTAATTAAAACACTGTACATACACATGTATACTATTGATGTACATAGGTGGGAGCAGGAAGGGTGAAAGGGGCCGAATCCCCTCTTCCCACACATTTTTCAAACTGCTTAATGGTTTAAAATGGAACATAATAAATACATTAATTACCTACCTTCTTACAACTGTACTGACCAGTAGTGATATTATCAAATTTTAAACATTCATTTACTGGTTGATTGCTATTATCCTGTCCTCCAATCACTACTAGTGTAGGTGAGGTAGAGACACCATTGATAATAGCACTGGCATGACTGCATCTCTCCTTAGTCCAGAGTCCTTCACCAGATATTGATCCTTTTTTAATACTCTCCCAATGCTAAATACAAAAACATAAACATATTAAGGATATAACTATTTTAGTTAGTACCAATATTACCAATAGCACTTTACTTTCATCAAGCAAAACTTTTCGTAAAAAATGAATTTGTATGAAAATAACTTTAAAAATTATCAGCGGTTTTAATATTACACTTTGGAGAGCTTTAATTTCACTGTTAAATGCTAATCTGTAAATAAAACCTGAAAGTTTTGCTCCTTGAAAGTAAAGGGCAATACAGTAGATGGACAATTAATTCAGTCAGGGTGAGGACAAAGATTAGTTTAGCTGCCAGCATCAATGGCGCTCATACTAAATCGTGCATTGAAGAGAGGTTTGGTATTTATGACATTTCTTACGACTATTTTTTTATTAACTGCATGCAGAATAGTAATTTTTTTAATCATTGATTTATTGTTACTGGAAAGATATAAGATAATATATACTTACATGTGCATAATAATAACTTACTATTGTATTATGTGTCACATTAAATATGAACACATTATTGGTAGGTGCAGGATTACCATCACGAGGCACTATTCCTCCAACCATTATTCCTTTATTTCCATTTATTTTGTTGATTGTAAAACCAGCAGTTAGAGGACAGCACTGTCCACTGAAAAATGGAACAGTGAATTTTCCTAAAATAAAAAAATTATCATTAATAATAGATATTCAAAATGTTGTTATTAAATATGCTCTAACACATTAACAAAACTGGAACTCACTATTAGATAGATCATAAAGCAACTGTTCATTGGTAAAAACAAAGCCATCATTAGACTGCTCATATTGAAACTGAGGATGTTCGACAGCTGGTAGTGTAGGACCCATCCCTCCGACCATAAAAAGATAGTCAGTTCCATCAAATTCCAGTGATATCATTCCACCATACCCTTTCTTCATCCTGGACTCATCATTAGGATGCAATTGAGTCCAGCTCATGGTCAGTGTATTTAGTACATTTAAACTGTTGTGGAAACAATTATCATGACCACAGTGGCCAGCATAATAATAAATATTAGAACGAAAGGTGGTACAGTAGTAGCCAGCAACTCCTAATGGAGGAGTACCTCTTGTTAGGTGAGAGGACCAGCGAGCTGATGAAAAGGAAAATGTCTCAACTGTTGAGGTCAGTTTCTTCTTTTGAGGTGAATCATGTACTTCAGGTAAATCAGGTTGGTCCCCTCCCCACAGGTAGAGTGAGTCTCCTATTACTGGAGCTGAGTGTCTAGCCCTCTCTTTGAATTTATAAGTACCTGTAAAAGAAAGAAAATAATAATTAGGAAAATAACACAAGAGAAACTAACCTGACATTTTCAAGCAAAACAGAGGTCAGAGGCGTCAGCCCCACCTAAAAGGGCGTTGGCTGTTGAATGGGCGTTGGCAAACAAAAACACACAAAATGAATAATGAAGTCCAAAATTAAATTCATGTACAGTAGACTACATGGAAGGCTCTATTGATTTTCTAGCATAGCCTGTACACTGTCCCTCAGTTCCTGTGGGAGTCCCTCCAGCAGTTCCTCTTCATTTATATTGAGGTCCAAGTTCTGCACAACATTCATTCCATCACTTTGTTGGAATACAATCATATCAGATGAAGCCTCTTCAGTTGTGAGAGCCAACTGATCAAGAGGATCAGAATCAGGTTGAAGGAGAGAGAGTAGATCAGATATTAAGAAGAGAAGGATCAATGGAGTCCATTCCTAGTTCATTAGTAACAGCTTCCAAGAGAACATTCTCATCTGGTATGACTGTGGATGGGAATGGAGAGGTGGGAGTGGAAGAGTGAGAGGGAGGGAAGTGAGGGCCAGCACTATCAGGAAAGAAGAGATTATCACCACCTGGTGATGATATGCTTGATGAGAGCTCCTCTATTGAAGGAACTGATGTGATGGTGTTTGGATTAGCAGAGGAGAGAATAATGAGAGAGATAAAGTGGAAGGGGATTTTGTTAACAAATAATGTCAAGGGTTTGTTTTCATGTTAACAGACTTCCTTCTAATAAATCAAGACAGCATGAAGCTTTACTGACCAGAAAAACTCAACACTATCAAGGTATTGTGTTTTCACTTACATACCCTACACTTTCATAATGTGTCCCTTATCTTTTTAGTTTATCTGCCCCAGCAAGATATCACAACAATTCATTTTCAAGAGTCCCTCAAACTGTAACTGTTGAGTGACACGACAGCAATCCATCAAATACCTTTCTTTCCGAAGGTACACCACAACCTAGGGACTCAATCTGTGGGTCTACCATTGCACTAGTTGATAACAGCCCATCAGAGAGGGAGACCAGATCAAAGAGGTTAGGAGTAGAATAATACTATCAATCCTAATTCAATATAGTGTAATTATTATGTTCCAATTTGTACTCTGTAGGAGTAGATTGTTCTTATATAAAAATAATAATTTCAGTTCTCATGCTTTAC